TTTTTTTTTTTTTTTAAAGGGGATGTATTTTCAAAGAGCCGGCATGGCCCTTGCCGAAGAATACGCGTCACATTGGAAAAGAGACCTGGGGCATCCTGATGATTCTGTTATGTATCATCCATCCAGCGGCAAACACACTGGGACATTAAATTCCCCCAAAGGCTGGTATGATGCAGGGGATTATAATAAATATGTAGTTAATGCCTCATTTCCATTAGGACAATTCTTTTTGCTGGAGGAGCAATACCCCAATAGTGTTGCCGATAGAGCCTTAAATATACCGGAAAGTGGTAATGCCCTGAGCGATTACCTGGATGAACTGAAATATGAGATGGATTGGGTATTGACCATGCAGGATGATGATGGAGGGATGTTTCATAAACTGACAACCAAAAATTTTGAAGGGATGGTGATGCCTCATGAAGCAACCAACCAACGATATATTGTAGGTAAGGGAACCGCCGCCAGCCTGGATTTTGCTGCAGCGGCAGCTCAGGCTTCCCGCATTTTTGCGCCATATGATTCAACTTACGCAGGGATATGTCTGCAGGCGGCAAAAAGGTCTTACAATTGGTCTCTGGATAATCCACAGGTGGAATTTGTTAACCCGGAAGATATTAGTACGGGTCAGTATGGTGATACTAATTTTGATGATGAATTTTTCTGGGCTGCCGCAGAGTTATTTGTAAGCACTGCCGATACCACTTACCTTAATCAGCTTAAAACTGCCCGGATTGATTTTTCCTATAGCCCGGGGGATGGCTGGACAAAATTTATGAGGTTTATGGGCATATTTACACTTTTAGACAACAAATCACTCGTTCCTGATGAGCTATATTCGACATTACGTAACGGTATTCTGAATACGGCAGACGACCTGACCGCAAGAACTAAAATATTGGATCATTTTCAAAGTGTTGATAATTTTCAATGGGGATCAAATAGCGATGTCCTGAATACAGCTATGATTATTGCCCAGGCCTACAGACTGGATAGGAAGCCGGAATATTTGACAGCCGTAAGACAAGCTGCTGATTATGTTCTCGGAAATAATGCAACGGGATATAGTTTTGTAACGGGTTTTGGAGATAACCCCCCTATGTTTATACATCACAGGCAAAGTGCTGCAGACGGGATAGTGGATCCGGTGCCGGGCTTACTATCAGGGGGCCCGAATAATGACAAACAGGATAGATCAGCAGGAGTAGAATATCCGGAAAATGTACCCCCTATGAAAAGCTGGACAGATCATGAGGACAGCTACGCAAGCAATGAAATATGTTTAAACTGGAATGCTCCTTTAACTTATATCCTGGGCTTTCTGGAACAGGAATCAAATTAACCCTATTATGAGAAAACTAAAAATTATTATCGCTGTATTAAGTGTTTGGGTCATTGCGATAAGTCCCCAAACTATTTTTGCAAATTCTGAAACACAAGGTGATACAACTGCTGTACAGAAGAAAAAGCCCAGAAATGTTATTTTCATACTTACCGATGACCACAGGTATGATTATATGGGGTTCACAGGCAAAGTTCCCTGGTTGGAAACACCCAATATGGACAAACTGGCAGCGGAAGGGGCTTATCTGCCCAATGCTTTTGTAACTACCTCCCTATGCTCACCAAGCAGGGCATCTATCTTAACAGGTCAGTTCTCACATAGCCATACCATAGTCGATAACCAGGCACCCGACCCGGGTAACCTGACTTATTTTCCTGAATATTTACAGAAAGCCGGGTATCAAACGGGGTTTTTTGGTAAGTGGCACATGGGTGACCATGGCGATGAACCACAGCCTGGTTTTACCCACTGGGAAAGTTTTCCTGGGCAGGGGGTGTACTACAATCCTACTTTAAACATTAATGGAGAAAGAATAGCCTATAAAGATTCTACGTATATCACCGATCTGTTAACGGAGCACGCAGTGGACTGGATGGATAAAAGGGATAAGAACAAGCCATTCTTTCTGTACCTGTCTCATAAGGCAGTTCACGCCGGTTTTCAACCAGCAAAAAGGCATAAAGGCATTTATAAAGGGAATAAGATAAAATTGCCTGCTACCTATGACCAAACCAAAACGGGTGCATACCGCGATTTAAAATGGCCTCAATGGGTGGCTGATCAGCGGATCAGCTGGCACGGAGTAGATTATATGTATCATTCAAACCGGGACATATATGAAATGGTTGTTGACTATTGCGAAACTCTTTTGGGTGTCGATGAAAGTGTAGGTACAATCATGGAATACCTTAAAAAGGAGGGACTGGACGAGTCAACATTGGTTATTTATATGGGGGATAACGGCTTTAGCTGGGGGGAGCATGGCTTAATAGATAAAAGGCATTTTTACGAAGAATCTGTTAAGGTCCCATTACTGGTCCGTTGTCCGGAGTTGTTTGAAGGGGGTAAGGTTCCCCGGCAAATGGTCCAAAATATTGATATAGGCCCCACGGTACTTGCTGAAGCAGGTGTTAAACAACCAGAAAATATGCCCGGGGTTTCATTTATTCCTATTTTAACAGGCAATACTGATGTTGCTTCAAGAAAAGAAATATTTTATGAATATTTCTGGGAATATGATTTTCCTATGACGCCCACTGTTTTTGGCATGCGTACAGATCAGTACAAATACATTAAGTATCAGGGTATTTGGGATAGAAATGAGCTTTATGACTTACATAACGATCCTGATGAGATGTACAATTTGATAGCAGATCCCGATAAACAGGAGATAGTCAAATCAATGTCATCTGCCATATATGATTGGCTTGAAGCAACCAATGGGATGAATATTCCTTTAAAGCGTACGGTTAAATATCGCTTCGGAGATTATAAACATCCACAGGAGTACTAAAAATTTAATGTTCTTGTTTCCGTGCCGTTATTATCAAAAAACCTGATGCGACTTACATTGGGATTCACTTCAATTTGCCTGCTGGACTGGGATTGAAACGATGAACCCCAATAGTATTCCTGTATCTGACTGCTGTTATCTTTAAAATACAACACACACTTAACTTCATTTGCTTTAAGCGGAACTAAGCCGGGAGCCGGGTCAGTTGTAGTTTCGTACACCTTTAGATAATCATTGTTTTGCGAAGCAACAATCAAAGATTTTTCATTAGCCACGGTTAACCTTGCCAGGCTTTTCGCATCACCAGGGACAAAGAAATGACTCTCTTCAAGGGTAACGGCTTCAAAACTTCCATCTCCTTTATTTTTTAGCATAATGCCAACAAAGGCATCCGCAGGGCCTTGTTGTACCTCCATGCCAAAATCATTCCCAACCAATACAATATCCATTAAGTCATCACTATTAAAATCAGTGATGAGAATGCCATATACAGGCGCAAGCTGGGCTGCGAAGGGCAGTGGGTGACTTTCAAATTTGCCCTCTCCCAGATTTTCAATCCAGGCAGTTTGCATATAGTTGAAGGTAAGTTTTATGGCATCGTCCAATACACCATCGGGAAATACTTCATGCAAAGTGGCCTCGCCAAATTCCCCAAAGGAATTAAATCTTTTTCGTATCCCTACAAATTGCTTCACAACATCCTGCCAGGGATGATAAAGGTATTCCTTCTTGGTTCCCACACTATCTCTGAGGTAATAGGAGATAAATGGGTCTATCATACCATTATTATCCAGGTCCTTCGCATATAAGCGCACAGGGGTGTCCTTATCTGCTTTAAAATAGATGTTTTTTCCAAAATTTCCGGCTATGTAGTCCATATCGCCATCATTATCCAGATCAGCAGCAGCAAG